CCCCCCCTTCATTTTGCCCACCAGCTCATACGGTACCATACGTACCCCAAACAGGTAAACAAACCCACTCTGTCCCCCAAACAGCACAAATGGCATTGCAATGTGAAATGAACAGGTTTTTACTTTTTATTTTTCAGACTGGTCAGCCTTTCTAAACGACTTCAACTTAATGTAACATCTGTGTTCCCACTCTGTGTCTGTGTTTATAAAATAATTTAATGTGTTGTTTAACAGTGGGATTACAACTCATTCTGTGTGTCTGTTTTACAGCCTGTTCGACATCTGAAATATTCATCCTTTAAGAAATCCTTGCTGGGCAGTGTTTCTGACAGTGGAAATGTAACTCTCTGGGATGTAAATACCCAGGCCCCATATCATAATTTTGAAAATACTCACAAAGCACCAGCCTCAGAAATCTGCTTTTCTCCAGTCAACAAGCTGCTGCTTGTAACTGTAGGTTTGGATAAAAGAATTATTCTCTATGACACTTCAAGTAAAAAGTGAGTATGTTAAAGACCTTTGACTTTTACTGGATCCTTGTTTGTTTTTTATAAATGGAGAAAGCACACCTGATTATCATATGAAGTATTTAATTCAGACCATGTTCAGAATGGTTCACGTGGTTGGCATTTCACCACTGGAGAGCCTGTCCTGTAGTCCGTTTTGCAAACAAATGGAAAACACCAAATAACCAGTCAAAAAACCCCAAGGCGTGCGGGAACTAGTGGAGGTGCTGCGTGTGAGTGACCACTTGTGAGTTCTTCCGTACGGGCTCTTCCTGTCGATACACAGCAGCGAGGCTTTGTGAGGGGCAGTGCAGGCTGTGAGGACTAGCAGATGCCCAAGTTTATCTGGCCTGCTTTTCCAGTTCAGGACAAAAGATGTAACTGGTGCACAGCGTTGCTGGGATTGTGAGCTGTAAATATGGGAGAGTATTGGTTGGAAAAGCAGGAACGGGGTAGGATGGCAAGTGATTTCATGAGACTTTGGTTCTGGTGGGAGTTGCGCTTTCCCTCTAGCTGAACAAAAGCAGGAGTCTGGCTCCAGTTTGAAGGGATGTAGTAGAAGGATGTGAACTAGTTCTTCCTGCAGTTGTGGGAAGATTTGAGTTCACAGCCCTGGGAAGCTAGAGGATGTATGTAGTATGACTGCTGCTGGAAATGGTGATACCAATAAATAATGTGGGTGTCAGAACTGCTGTTGTGAAGGCAATCGGATCCTGTCCTGGTGAAATCTTCTGGGGCATATGCAGGCTTTAATTTATTAGGCATGGACCGTTAGTATAAGCCTCATCTGGTGTTCCTTAAGATATTTCGCTGAATTTACTTGGAACAGGAGAAGTGGAATTACTGACCTATAGCTGAATTATGAAAGCTTCTATATATTTTTCTAGGTGCTCTGTCTGACTTCTGAACTCTAAAAGCTTCTTTATCCTGTCCTTTCTCCCGTTTGAAGGTTACTGACATCAATAGTAGCCGATTTTCCTCTGACAACAGTAGACTTCATGCCTGATGGTACTACTTTGGCTATAGGATGTTCCCGGGGAAAAATCTGCCAGTATGACTTAAGACAACTGACATCACCGCTGAAAACAGTTACTGCGCACAAAGGCTGTGTGAAATGCATACGTCTTCAGTGCAGTACCACGTTTTCCAAGGTAAGGAACTTTCCTTTTATTGCTCAATATGCAGATTAGCGAAAGCAAAGTGTAAGTTTAAGTTCTAAAAATATAAGGTATTAATAAATAAATAAGAGGTAATAATACCATTCAATTTCTGAACATTATAGATGCTGAGGAAAGTGGTTCATACCAACATAGAAATGATAAATTGTTTGGTCTGAAGTGCCATTGTAGGTTGTTTTAATGTGGAATTCCCCCCACCCCTAGCTCCTGTAGAAATGACTGGAACTTCAGTCTTAAATTTCCTGGTGTGAATGCGCTGCCATGGCAGATCCGTTTGCGGCACCTTGGACTCATTGGCAGGCAGTAGCAGAAAGGTCTGTAACGGCCCCTCTGCTTAAGGGGGAGAGACACAGTGGCCTGTCTTGAGGGTTTTTGCATGGTCTGTGGTCTTCTGCAGGCATGTATAAATGGTGGGGAAGTTGATTAAATTACAGAGAAGACTGAAGAGGTTCTTCTAAGACTTAATTAGGCTCTAGTCTGTCCCGAAACTCCACGTGTCCATTCAGTGGAGATGGAGAGAACCTTTGAAGTGGACTCTTTACTGCTCTGAGACTTTTCTTCTAGCACACTTGTTGCTCCTAGTTGGCTATTCCTTTACAATTTGGAGTCCCTAATAACGTAATCCCTTATTTTTCCTAAGCCTAGGATCAAAACTGACCCATGCCAGGTCACTCCATTGTTACTTTTTGCAGGCCTACACAGTCTTCATATAATAATGCAGGTGTTTCCCATGTTCTTTGAAGTTACATTAAGGGACTTCTGTGTTATATTGGTAAGGCCATATCTCCTAGGAAACCTTTGCAAATTGAACTGAATTTTTTTCCTAGTATTTTGAAACAGAAAAAATATTGGTTTATATTTTTACTTTTAACTGAAGGAATAATAACTTCTCTTAATTTATTCTATTTTTTTTCTTCAGTCTAACCTTACAGGTCTTTCAAATAAACCTGTATCCAAAGGAGTGGAAGTCAAAGCTTGTAGTAATCTTGGAGGAATTCAAAATACTGGCATCAAAAATCTTGCCTCTCAGGCATCAGCAACAGTTTCATCTCACCTGATATCGCCGAATGAGAATAAGGGAGGAGAGGTTGGTCAGGAGAAAACAGGTAGTGTCTCCTTCCTGCTCTTACGATCCTATTTGGCACAAAGTAGAAGGTGGAAGGAACTTTTCATGCCTTGACCATTACAGTATAAAAACTTCACCGAGGGAAGGGCATTTCTTTTCAAGAACTGCGCATATGTGCATGCACGTCTGTGCCGCCTTTTCCCTCCTCTCCTGCATTAGGAGACTGTGGAAAGTGAATTGGGTCCCACTACAAGCTTTAGACACATGAAGTGTAAAATACTGGATTTGAAGTAGAAGTCTGTATTTAAACTCTAAAGAAGAGAACTGTGGTGTTCTCTTGTGTTTTGACTTCCTGTAGGTTATCCTTATGTGCATAATATATTTTCTGACAAAGTGTCCGTATGGAATGCAGAGCTTATGGTTTGTAATCCTGTTAATAATCAGGAGTAACAGACCTCATCTGAAAACCCAACCAAACCACAGGAAAAAACCCTAGTCCACAAACCCAAGTGAGAACTGAACTGTGTTTTTGTGTGAGGCATGATTCCAATATCACATGGTAGGCAGGATGTTAAATATCATTGCAAATATTGGTTGTGTAACTGTATTTGCTATTTATGCTTCTGAAATGAACAAGTTCCCTATAAGAATTCTGAGCATTAATCTAAAATTCTGCCAGTGTGTGAAGTGTACTCTTAAAATTTTATTTAATTCAAGAGTTCTGAAAATATGGTCAAATCAGTAACACTGTAGGTGTGATTCTTGGAAAAAAATCCCCAAGACTTCTTAGTGCAACAGCACTTTTCCCCTCCCTTTTTAAATCAGGAGAAATACGTTTAGCAACAGTAATTAGGCAATAAGGCACTGCAGTCCGTAGCGATGCGTATTAATGACCTCCCATGGGTATGCAGTGAAGTACGAGGTGAAGCAGGATGCTTCCTGTGGATGTAAGAAATGTCGCTAATCGACACTACTGAATGCTGTGGAAAATTGTATTTCACTTAAAATATATGATTTATTACCTTTATTTGAAGATGTAATGGCTGTTACCATGCATAATAAATGGATGTTGTAAGAAAATAAAGACTTGCCAAGTAAAACAAATACATTTATGAAACTGAATGTTCACGTTAGAAGCAGGAAGGTGCTTCGGAAGGTACAGTCCCTAAACATAAGAATGGGAATGGGTGAGAGACCGCAGACTGCAGTTTTTCTGGGGAAACTCTTCTACACCCTGACCACGGGGTGTAACGTTGGAGAAATAAGGGGCAGTCAGTACAGTGCTCTGACAGCGTATTGAAAATGTAAAATGGCTGTTCATGCAGCTTACAGGTGGACTGCGGCTTTTTGTCAGAGGTATTTTAAAGTAGAAAAGTATGAATTAATTCAGAATGCGTTGAGAAGTTTGTATGTCCTTTGAGGTGGCTTCCCAAACTTCTGTCGAACAGCTCTCCTCTGGTTTAGGTACTTACCTACATTTAGATTACTGGGAATTGGTTAAAAATATCCGAAAGATGTTTTGCCCTATTTTATATTACACTTTTTCTGTGTCGATCCTCTGGATTCTAGCACAGGTTGATAATTACGCTTCTAGTTTGACTCCGTATGCCACGTATTTCCTTAACTAGCAAGTGCAATTGTGTGTATGTGTCACAGCTGACACATCTGAAGTAGTGGAAAATGTCCTATATTAATACATTTAAAAGTGAAATCTTAAACCTGACTCAAGTCCCAGTTTATGTGAACACTTGGACACAATTAACTGCAGTCATCCACACAGTCACGTTCAGATCACTTGGACAAGTAATCCCACAAAGAGCAGTTGTTAACAGGTTTTATGGACGGTGCTTTGTTTGGGGTTGTTTTTTTCATTAAAGTAGGAACAAAGTAAAGCTTTTGTATGTACAGGTGATGTATTCATAGGAGGTGTATTTATGGATTACACAGC